TGAAACCACTTGTCACTCCCAGGGAGAAAGATGAGGCTTTCTACTGTACAGTCTTGGCGGGGGGGGGAGGATTCTATTGTGTCCTCTAGAGTTACAAAGAGTTGGAGTCATCTTGATGGCAGCAAGGAGCCCTGCTGCGCTCTCAGGAAACTGTCGTGAATGCAGCAGCAGCGGTTCAGACTCACCAGTGGCTCGGTGAGAGAACGATAGGCGGTCTGTGCTCATACAGAGGTACAGCCTCGGAAACGCTACATGGGGCCACTCTGAGTCGGAATCAACTCGATGGCAGTGCGTTCAGTTTGGTGGTGTACTTACATACCCATAGTTACACAAAGAGGCCCACATTATTACTGTTTTATTATGATTCTATGCTATATAGGGTCTCCATGAATCCGAATCGACTCCGTGACAGTGAGTTTGGTTTTGCTGTATTCGTTTTGTTTTATTGTTTTTGTACATATTTATAGTTTTGCATGTACAGATAGGCAAAATATGTACTATATGGGAAGAAGCATATTTGACCCATAGCTGCTGAGTAAGACCTGCTTGTAACTGTTCTGACTTCGCTATACTTCTGACTTAGTGACTTAGGAATGTATCTCATTCGTAACTCAGGGACTGCCTGTACACCTTTTATTTTCTATTTTCTTACAATGCGCTAAACAACATGCCCAATTCCCTACCTAAATCATCTCATTTAGATACCCACAACTCAGCGTGAAGCCCATTTTGAATGACTAAAGCTTACCAAGGTGTATCTTTTCACGCACGAATTAAAATGAACATTCCACGGGTATATCATTCCAACTACGATCGATGATCATGACTTATTCAATCAAAAGGATGATTTCCCCCTCCGCCAGATTTGCAGGGAATAAAATGTTGCTCACGCTTTGATTAGCATCCAAGCAGAAATAAATCAATCCATCCCTCCTTGTTTCACCAAAGCATCCAACCGTTCTTGTCTTTGGACCCGAGAATCAAAGCATTTCTTCCATGCGGCTGGACTTGCGTATCACCCTGTGGCAGCTGGATGATTTTATGTCAACTCGACACTCCTGGCCAGGGGTGGAGTCACACTTGTCAATCAAGTGGTAGCTCGATGACATCCCGGGGTGGGGGGCGGGGGTGGTCTTTGGTGTGAGAGTGGGGGGCTCTGGAAGCTGTCTCTCTCTTTGCCGGTTTGCCTTCCTCCTCACTGGGACTCTGCATCTGCCTCCAAGGGTGGCTAATGCGGGTTGCCTGACCCCAATGCCTGTGGCTGCCCTGCTATGTTTCCACTGACCCTCCATTCATGAGACTGCTCTCACCAGCCTGTGAGCTCCCTGCTTCCCACTTCACCTTTCAGCGTCAGTTACATGACTCAGAAGAGGGCTGTGCTAGCACAGGACTTGGACTTGAGTTGAATGGAGCTGGGAGGCCTTCTTGCTGTAACGTTGCATCTTGATATACAGTTCTTTCTTGTACATAGATGAGAGTGACTAGATTTGCTCCTCTAGACAACTTGGCCGAATGCACACCCATTTCATCCACATTTCCTTAGGAATTCATGTCACCAGGACGCTGGGCTCCTAAGGGAATGGCGAGCATCAGTGAATAGGCGGCAAATTGCTTGCTGCCTTCTACTGCGTGGGTAGCAATTTCATGTCTGGTTCGCACAACGCCATGATTAGATGGTTTCCACTCAAGAGTTATTTCTAAATCCTTCCCATGTTTTGTAGACGGTGGATTATACAGAGCTAACTGATGAGGCACCTACAAAACCATTGCTTTTACAGGAGCCTCCGGTTGCCTTCCCCTTGTGTGTTAATCTGGGTACTTCAGAAAACCAAATCCATAGAAACTCATGTATAAGAGTTTTATATAAAG